ACCTGTTGCTTCACGAACTAAAATCTCATCCCAGCATTTAAAAATGAGCCTCGTTTCCTTGTTCAAATGATGTGTCATGCCAAAAACTCCAATAAACAAGCGTTGAGGTCTGTCATCAAGCAAGATTTCTAACTAAAATCTCATCCCAGCATTTAAAAATGAGCCTTGTTAAAATGATGTGTCATGCCAAAAACTCCAATCAATAAGCGCTGAGGTCTGTCATCAAGCAAGATTTCTTTTGACAATGGTACAAATGGCAAAAAAAAAAAAGAGAGGCAATCTATGTCTCCGAAATACAACAATCGGTGAGGTATTGCTCTGGAAAGTCTTGAAATCTTGAAAATAAGACGACGAGAGGGTCGGAGCCCCGCGAGCGGCGCTTGGCGCCCACCGGAGCGACCGACACCACCTCCTCACCGCCACGCCATCAAACGTGAGTTCAGGCAGGCGGCAAACGAAGGCCGCCGTTCCCGGGAAAAGAACGGCCATTTCTTTGAAAAACAAGCGCCCGGTAAAAAGGCGCTTGGGGGACGACGCGAGGAGGCGAAGGAAAAGAAAGAAAGAAAGAGCAAAACATATACTCACTGGATTGGTTCCTCCGCATTTGGCCCTGAAAAAAGAAAAAGAGAGAAACTCTGCAGTCAACTTGGTTGAAAAGAAGAAGTAGGAAGAGAAAACGGACTGACTGAAATCCCTTTTGGGAGGTGTGCCATTCCAAAAAAAAAAAAAAAAAACTGTTGCTTTCCTCAAACTACTTCAAAAGAATTCTTTTGGGGGCAATGCAAGTCAAGTAGTCAACTTTTTTTTTTTAACGGGCCAGGCCGTCATTGGGGCTTCATATCCCCCACAAGCAACGTTGAGTGACTTTGCACACGTTACAAAATAGCATCGTCAACTTTCGACATTTTCAAAGCATGGATGAGGCCTTCCGTTGTCCATATATTTCGCACCGCGTTTGCTTTTATCGCCCGAGTCAAAGCAGCAACAAGTCCTCAGTGTGTGCGTGTGTGTGAAAGCAAGAAAGAAACAAGAAAACAACACAAAACAGGCCAGGTTCCGTCCCAAACGGCACTAAGTGGCAAATGGGTTCAATTACGGCTCTCCTGGGTGACCACACACACACACACACACACACACGCATAAATAGAAAAGGAGGCGGCGGCAGAGCCAAACAGGAGGCGGGGGAGACATTTCAATAATGGACACCAGATGATGCAATTGCATCAGCAGCCCAAAGGACGACGGATGGCGTCTTTTCACGGGGAAACCTCCCGTCGATATCAAGAGGAAATGACGCGGTCGGGGCTCACGGGCCAGATTGGGGGGCTTGGCGGCCGATCGACAAAGCCCGGGGGCAATACAAGGAGGCGCACCGCAATCTTGGACCCGGCGCCTCCGCGCTTGACAGCGAAGAACTTGGGCGGAGGTCAAAGGCGCTTTTGGGAGAAGACCGCTCCAGTCTCACGAGTGTCCAACACTCGCGGGACCGGGGCTCAAAAATGGAAAGCAAGGGGGCGCGCGCGGGAAAGAAATGCCCGCATCTTGACCAGGATTTGATTCGCCTTCGTTTCATGCGGGGCTGCCTGAGTCGCGAGCAATTCTTGTCGCTCGAATGGGGCTTTTGTTCACGCGCGGTTCCGCAATGAGGCCGGCCGCCTTCGTACAGTCGACACGAGAAATCTCTCCATTGGCCCAAACTTGACTTTGGCGACGGTGCTTTTCTTTCGCGAGGCAGGACGATGCGCACCCTTTAACGTGACCAAAGGAGACACGCCGGCTCGCACTTTTCCCAAGAAGAAAAGTCTCGTCAGCTGCCGCCATTTCGTTTCAAACGTGACCACGCACGTCCCCGCTTCCGCGAGACAATTTTGCTCCCCGGCCGGACCCGATGCCGATGCCGACGCCGGAGCCGTGAAGTCCCGGCTTCCAAAATGGACACTTGAAAAGCACCGTCGAGCGAGGCTGTGCCACTGCGATGCAAGAAAGCCAACAGGGGAAAAGAAGGCGCTTTGCTATGCCAAGCCAGGCGCGTGCACATGCACGCACACACACAAAGTGACTTGAATATTTTATGACTGCTTATTTTCAAAACGCGCGCGCATCTGACAACATCTGCTTCGACACACTCCTTTAAGTGCACACGTGTGTGTGTGTGTTTTATCATAAAGTTGTTTTAGGAGTTAAAAAAATACACCTAAAAAAACAACTTTCAATAATTCACAAGTGCTGGGTAAAAGTAGAAGCGGGTCTTCACAAAGCTGAACTGTGCCATCAGGCAAATTTTCGATGTCAACTTGTGAAGACTTTTTTTATCCCCCCCCCCCCTCCCCAAAAAAAATTCTTCCTCAGTATTATATCTTGTTTTGTGCATTGTAACATTGTGAAACTCCCGCTTTAGATTTGGCGATGCTAAGAACCTATCCGCCGCACCTAATCAGAGTCTCGGGCATTTTTGCAACATCCGCACTGGACTAGGGGGGGTCGTTTCCTGTTAAAAAAAAAAAAAAAAAAAAAAAAAAAAAAACCTTGGCGGTTTTGTGATTCGTGTGACGCTTCTTGCTAGTTCTCTTTCCTTTGGACTTTTTATTTGATGAAAATCCATTTCCATTGAAGGATCGCATTCATCAAAGGTCGCCACTCAATTAGGAAGTCATTCGGTGACAGTAAAAGCGGTTCAAGTGAAAATTGGGTTTGGTTTTTGGAAATCACCCCTTCTTCTCTTCCTTCATGACACAGATGAGAAAATACTGTATGTGAAGAATGGCCACGGCGTAGGACGTGAATATTTTCGCCCAGCAATGACGAGTTGCAGAGTGTATTTGCTGCGGTTGCTTCAACACACGGCGGCTCGCCTCGAGCCGTCAACATTTTTGACTCGCGTCCAGAAAAACTTGAGGACATGCGCACAACTTGATGGATGCTTACACAATGCGATGATTTCAAACAAAGGAAACCTCACTTGTCATTTTTGTCTTGAGCTCGTTCTGGAAATACGTCATTTGCATGTGAAAAACCTTTGTGCCAAACTCTTCATTTTTGTCTGAAACCATTCCGGAGACATGAGTTCAAAATCCCCAAGTCAAGTTAAGATATCCTGGGAAATGTATGTAAACACTGTATTTAACTTGGTGTTCCGTTAAGTCGCCTTGGGGGCGGGGGGCAGCGGGGGGGGGGGCTAATGCAATCGCGTAAATCCTCATGCGAGTCACGAGCTAATGCTCAGGCTCTTGTTAAGTATAAAAATAAATGCCTTGAAAGGGGGCCAGGAATGCCGTCGGCGGTCAAGCGTGACCAAAACGCTCCCCTGTTGCCCTCTAGTGTTGCAGAGCGGGAGCGTTCTTTCCCCTTCCGGGGGGGCCGAGCGCGGGGCGAGGGAAAGACAACCAATTTTGGTTTTTTTTCCCTTACCGTCGGGGAAGGGGGGTGGGGGGTGTCATTTCAACAGCGACGTACCGAGGTCGGCGGCGACAGGACGATGTTGCCGACGGAGGCCTTGAGCTCGTCGATGGCGGCGCGGTTCTGGTGCGTGCCGTCGTTGGGCCGCACGGGCTTGATCTCCACGTGGAACTTGCGCGGCTCCTCCTCGTCCTCCGAGTCGCTGGACGAGTAGAAGGAATTCTCTTTGGCATGTTGGCCCCGTCCGGTTAAGGAGCAAAAGAAGAAGGGGAAAACAAACAAACAAACGACAACGAGCACGGAGACCGACGCGCGCGCGGCAAGGACCTCGGATTGAGAAGCGGACATTGAAGGATATCATTCTCCAGGGATTCGGGCCGGATGCAGAAGCCCTCGTCGTCGACTCGCGGAACATTCTGCAAAAAGGCAAATGCGGATGAAGTCATGTCGGCGGCAGGGGGAGTCGTGTACCGCTGCGTCGGTACACGACGCGCCGCCGTCGACTGGCATTCGAGGCCAGGCGTTTCTTTGTACAAAGGCGTTTTGTCAAAATAGGATGTTTCCTAAACACGTCGGTCTCCGATACATCATGGTCCCAAAAATTCAAGCTACGGGAACCGTACGAGGACCGCGCGCGGGAGACTTGCTCATTGAAAACGGACGACTGTGACTTGGAAAACAATGCGCTGCAGTGTGCGCGTGTTGGCTCGCTTACAGCGTTCTGAATGTCTATGGCCCCGTAGTATCCGGGGGGAGCGCCGTTGGCAGCGTTCTACAAACACAAACAAAGACAAGCCCAATGAATGAATGAATGAATGAGCAAATCTGCAAAACAAACAAGAGAGGAAGCGGGGAGAGCGAGAGAGAGAGTCACACGTTCAAGTAGTAAGACGCGACACAAAATGAGCGCCGCCCCCCCCGCTGCTCGACATGGCCGGCGACAACAACAACACGACACGCCACCACGACGAGGAGAGAGAGGAAGCCGTTTACTCACACTTTCCGCTTCCGTCGATTCCCTGCAAGACCAAAGGGACACGGCAGCATGACAAAACACTCGCCATTGTTGAGACAAACATTGCATTGCACACAATCAGCCTCTTTGGACAACGGCTAGTAACACGCTACTGCAGCGGCGATTGCCATCGTTGACGGATTTGAAGGGCGGGAAAAACCCCCCAAAAGTACAATTATTTCTAGCGTCACAAAGTGCCATTGCTCAATCTCCTCCCACCCCCACTTACAAATCAGCACTTTTTTGGGGGTTTTCTTTGTTCAAATTATTCGTAAAGTAAAACTTTTGGATATGCTGTTGGGCTTCCTGAAATGTCCTGATCAATAATGATTTGCAGACTCGAGGATTCCGCCCAACGGCGGCGATACGAGGCATTTGGTATTGTTCGATGACCGAAAAGCGTGCTGCAAACGGGCACTCTCCAATATTTGTGTGAAATTTCCCGATGCCATACATCGTTGGAAATCATGCCGCAGCTGAAGGCTTGAAAAGACACAAACTAAAATGCGTTTGTGTCTTTTTGGATTTGGGGACAAGGGCTCATTTCATTTGTCAGCAGCGCTTCTTGTGCAAATCCTTACGTGGAGTCGGTGTCTTTGTCTTTCCGGCGTCCCGGGATGCCAAATGGCTTTCTCCTCCTGGCTTTGGCACCTATGGCGACACAAAACGGAGTGGATCGCGCCATTTGTTGACACGGATGATGGATGAGATACGGGAAGTGAAGCTCCGACCTTCAGCGGCGATGGCGGCGTTACACTCCTCAAACTCGATGGGCCCTAATGAGACAAAAAAACAAATCGCCACCATTTTCATCTTTTTGGGTTCATTTGGCACACAAAGGGTCAGCGAGCCGCCGCCGCGAACGTACATCACGCAATAATCGCACACGCACGCACACACTTGTGTCCGACGCACCAAAGCTACCCAGACGGGCGGAGGGGAAGCCGGCGTGCGGCGCGGAGCGTCCGCCGACGGGACAAAGCGGATCCCGAGTTCTGGCCCCCGGGCCTTGAGTTTGACACCCGTGTTGTAAAGTGTCCTTGAGTGTTTGGAAAGGCGCTCATCAATGAAATGTTTACAATTACTATTGTGATTTGGATTATCGGTGGCTTGTTGAGAATCTTTCTTCATCGATATGAGTCACTCTGATCATGACGGACGCCCGCCATCGGGCAACCGGATTACATGCAAGTACAGAAGGAAAACATTTGTCATGTGACTTCTGCCGTTTCGAGCTACGACGTAGCGACATTTGACGGCAGCGACCCTCAGCCTACACTCGGGCGCAGACGCTCACATGCAGAAAGCGGAAAGTTCCTGACATCCTTCGCTCGGGCAAAAGAAAGCCCGCACCTTCAGAAAAGTGAAAAGGAAAAAAAAAGCACCTGAAAGTAAAATGCATGCATCGCACTCAAAAGTGAAACTCAAGTGAAGCGCACGGCCGAGGTCTTTGGGAGCGAACGCGGCCTCGATGACAGTCATCGGAGCAGCTACTGTAAAGCGGCGGCGCCCGGCGGCTACGCGGCGCGATACGCTAACGCGCTTTGACCTGAAAAGAACAAAAGCCGGCAACGTTTCCGCTCGCGACATATACATTAGCCGCGTCGGCGGCGAGCGCCGTCCTCCCGGGGTTGCCGGGGCGGGGCCTCCATTGACCCATTGTTTGGCGTGCGGCGGCGGCGCCCCCGTGTGAAGCGCAGGCAAGCGGCGAGTCACGAGAGGCGCCCATCACGCCAAGTCAAGTGGATAAAGGACACCCATGACTGATCTACTCTACTGTGCATTATCGGCCCTGAATCGCTGGCAATGGCTGCACGAACCTCCCTCTCCCTCCCTCCCTCCCTCCCTCTCTCTCTCCCTCTCTCGCTCTGGTTCATGCCAATCAAAACACAATTGGCATTCAAGAAGAGCACATCACACGGGACGACGGGCAGACGCTGCACTCCGAGTCATCGGGGCATCGAACCGACAGCCGGGTGCTTTCTTTCTCGGACTCGCAAAACGGCTCGACCCTTTGCCGGGTTTTCCAGGACACGCGGGGACCCCGAACCCGCAATTGAGAGACGCCGCGTTGAGAGGTGCGCGCGGCTCCCAACGGGTCAGTACGACCAAAGCTGGCGTCGTAGCAACGAAGAGGGTCGGGGCTGGCTTTTCTCTTCACCTCGCCGTCACCGCGGCACAAAACCTGCCGCGCATCGCTCATCGCGGCCCTGCATTTACACGGACAAAAGCAAATGGTGCACGTCGCACACCTCCGACGTAATCGGAAACAAACAAGGAAAAAAAAAACCCCAGCAGACGTGCGCGTCTTATGCAAAGCGTTTAACCGTCCCTTCAACCGATGTCTGTTTATCTAGGGGAAGATGTCTCTTTTCTTTTGGACTCGGCAAGCAGCCGTGCGTGAGTAGCGGATGCTTTTTTTTTTTTTGCTTTCCTTTTTTTTCCTTG